TCTCTCTCTCTCTCTCTCTCTCTCTCTCTCTCTCTCTCTCTCTCTCTCTTTTTCTCTCTCTCTCTCTCCCCCCGACTGCCATTTCCTGGCAGAATCCTGACAGGGTCTGAGAAGACATGCGAAGGGTAGGAAGAGATGGAGACCCCCAGTCGCTGCGAAAGATCTGCCCGTCTGAAATGACATTGTGGCAGATAACCTTGCGAATGAGGACAGTACAGTCGGTGACCTGTCTGAGGAGTCACGACGGTCGGAATGTCCTCGGTCGACAACAACAGGAAGTGAATGACGTGACATGCAAAGGAAAAAAAAAATTCTACAAACAAAAAATGGAAAAAAGAAAAAAAAATTGAGAAAGAAAAAAGTGAACAGAGCGAAGGAGGCACCATGAAACGAACCCCCCGCTTTGTTTCATGGTGCCTCTGTCGCTCCGTTCTCTTGTTTCTTTCATAATGTTTTTTTCATTTTTTTCCCATTTTTTGTTTGTAGATTTCCCCCCCCCCCCTTTTTCTATCGTTCTCCAACTGTCGTCGGCCAACGTGCGCTGTTGTCGTCACGGATTCAAGTTTCAGCAGGTGGAGGGGCTGGTGTCCCCATGTTCTCCTCCCCGATTGCCATTCCCGTTTCGGCGCCGGTCAGCCATGATGCCGACCAACATCTGCAGCACAACGTTTCCTTCCTTTATGGCACTGGCGATAGCGCCGACCTGGGTCGCCACCAGCTGCGCACCCTCTGTGCTTGCCCGGGCCAGAGCGCCAGCCGCCTTCTCCATCCCTTCATTCCCCGCCATGCTGGAATCTAGCAGAGCCCTCTCCACAGTCAACACCGGCGGGCGGTCACCAACGCGCTCTTTTCCCATCGCCCCTTGCCGTTTCTTACGCAAGCGGTCGTCTTCTTCGGTGCTCGCACTGCTCCGGCCCCCGCCTTCTGAAGAGCCATTGCCAAGCGGCGGTGTTTCGTTATCGGAAACACCGCTTTCAGCACCCTGGCAGTTCGATGATGCCATGGTGTTGTCACAGCCTCACAGGCGACATATGGCTTTCTGTGTGCCCACTCCATCTCCTCCCACAGCGGCTGCTCAAACGTCGTCGGGATTCCCTCCTTCTTCCTATCTTCGACGCTCATGTCCCAATACGATGGCTTCCCTGATGCGTTGCACTTGTGCAGGATGTCCTTCATCTTGCCCATGAGGTCAGACCACTTATTCCTGCAGTCCTCCGCAAACAAAACCATTCAAGATCCACCAAAGCAAGTGTAGAGGGTGGGAAGGGGTCTGTAAAACATTCCGGAGGTCTCAAGGAAGCTCCTGGTTGAATATCAAACCAGTTGCGAAAGGTAAGTTGGTAATCCCGCTTGAACTCCACTTGCTCCCCTTCCCCTCCCAGCCATGTTACCTCCCCCAACTTCTCTCCTAAGACATCCCCTAGCCATTCCAAAGTAAACTTTTGGATTCTTTGTTCGATATCTGTTTTTTGTTTGAATTGTTTCAGTGTTATTTTCATCTTAACCCATGGACTTCTGATTTCTGTTTGGACAACGTGTTGGACTATTTCTGTCAATTCCTTGCTTTCTATTTTCACTTTTTCCATTTCATTGATGCATCTTTTGTGCCACAGCGCCTACACAACCGCTTTCCTTCCCACATGAAAGAAATTCTGTTGAAATTCAGACAGGTCGATCTGCTGAGGGTTCCAGTATCCCAACAGAATGACCCTCCACTCCCACGGCCAATCTATGCCTGTTAACCTTTGCCACACATAGTCCCAACGACGCAAGAGTAAAACGGAACATGGGCATTGCATAAAAATATGTTTGATTGTTTCTCTGTTTTTCCTTCTGGGAAAGGCCTGAACACAGGATTTGCACCATGGTAATGCCACTCCTTTTTGTTCTAGTGTAGAGTGGTCAATTAGCCAGTTATTTGTTGGTAAACACTTGTGTACTATCTGCCATTGCAAGGATGCGAACTTGGCCGGCCGCTCTTTGAATCCTTGACACCTTACTGATTTGAGCAAGTCTTCATAGATATTCAGGTGTCTTTGTCATTTGTCTCTTACAATCTCTGGGACCATTATCTTGGGACGCAACAGCCTATAAGTTGCCTTAACTGACAGGGAATGCAATCTCTGGAATTTGCATCTCCGATTTGAACGTCATATTCAATCGGCAGGATCCAGAGGAAGGTTAGAAATAAGATGTTGTGGAAGGAACACTATTCATTCCTTTGCTGATGTGGCATATAAAGTCCTCACCCTATACATTATCTCAAAGGAGAAAAACCTTACCTCATCCTGATCTCTTTTAGCAATCTTATTGAAAATATTCACTAGGGCTCCCTCCTCTTGTACATCTAATATTTGTCCTATTGTCGTGGAATCATCCTGTTTGTGAACGCTCACCCAGTCAGTCATCTGAAGCATTGGACCCTTCTTTAAAACAATTATCCAAGCCAAAGAAATGACTGACAAAACTTCATCCAATTTTTTCATAAGTTTATGTGCATACTTAATTTCTTTCTGAGTTTTTCCACTGTCTTTCAGCTTCTGTTCTCAGGATTCCATAGGTCCTTGACTCTTACAATTTCATTCTTAACCCATGTGGACCATGGAGAAGCTGAACTTATGAAGACCTTCTCATTTTGATCCGTGATCCATCGATTACCAAAAAGTGGTTGGCGCAGGATTTCCTCATATCTTGTTGGCGGAGATTTGTTGGGTAAAGGCAGCTCACACCAATATTTTAGTAGACTATACCAGAAACCATCTAGACTTAGATCTCTCCTGACCGCACCTCTTGTTTCTGACATGGTACATTGTGCCTGGGGACGAGGAATGGTCCAATACCTATCTTCTATCCATGTAAGAGGGTGCACTTCCTTGGTGGTCTGGGGGGCCATTCTACGAATTTGATCCAGGGTCAGCTCTTGTCATGACAGATCCGTCGCTAGAATTAAGCGCTTCAAAACTTGAAGTAAGAAGGCTTTACATTGTATTTTTGGTTCAATAATTCTCAAACCTCCTTTGATTTTGGGTTGGATTAATGTCTGTCAGGCCACTCTTGGAATTACATGTGGTAACTCATGATCCCCTCGCCATAAGAAGGTTGTCAGTTGCCTTTGTAGTTTCTTTGTTGCTTTCTTGCTGAGTGACCACAGCATTGCTTTGTACCAAATTGAGGCTAAGACCACATTATTGATTAATAAATCTCTACCAAATATTGATGTATGTTTATTCTTCCACAGCCTCATTTTTTCTAATGTTGGTGAGAAAATCTATAAATCGTTTGAGTTAGACTTCCCATGAGCTATGAGAATCACGCCTAATACTCTGATGGGGGCATCTAGAGGCAACCATTTAATCCTAGGGGATTCTGGTGGTCTGTCCCCTTGAGAATGAATCCACCATCCCTACGTTTTGTTACCCCAATTCACCAACATATCCAAGAGATTAGAAAATTTGTCCATTAATGCCTTAGTTTCCTCAAAATTAGTCGAAGAAGCTTCCATCATAATGGTTAAATCGTCAACGAACATAGAGTAGATGGGAATAACTTTTTCTGGTATGTTGGCTATTCGAAGCCGTTGAAGATTGCAGTTTTTCCTAAGATTGACCCCTAATGCTTCCATAATAATTACAAAAAGAAAAGGGGCTAAAGGGTCCCCTTGTCTTACTGATCTTTGAAGAGGAATCTCATGGGATAATAAACCATTGACTTGGACCCTTGTTGTGGCATTTGAATGAAGTATCTGTACCCATCTCCTTATCCTAGTTCCAAACTCCATCTTAGCTAAGCAAGTATCCAGGAAATGCCAATTTACATGATCATATGCTTTTTCAAAGTCTATGAAGATAAATGCCGCATTATGTTTATTCTGCCTGGATAGTTTGATCATTTCATTGACTAGCATAACATTGTCCTGTATGTATCTCCCCTGAATAAATCTAGTTTGAGAATAATGAATTATGTCTGTCATTACTGAAATGAATCTATTAGCAATAACCTTGGCTAACATTTTATAAACTACTGTTAAAAGGGCGATTGGTATATAATTCCTAATATTGTTTTTTTCTCCTTTTTTGTATAATAATGTTAGAACTCCTTGTCCAACAATTTCTCGCATCGTTCCTAAGTGGGTCGCCAAATGACCACCCCAACACTCCTCGGCCGCGGAGCGTGAGCTCGAAAGGCCCTATAGGGCCATACTTCTTTGTGCACTCGATGATGTTCCGCGGAGTCCATCAGGTGGGTTTCTTGGACACAAATTGCGTTCAGCCAGTCCCTACTCTCCACCCCCCTGATCTGGTCCCAGATGGCTTGTTTCTTTGATGAAGATGTTGATGCGCGGCCATTTACACTCAAAGATCGCAGGTCAAGATCAACCTCTCTCTTCCCTTTTGCTCAATTTTTATACCTACCATACAAGGCCCCGATAAAATCCATTTTCGTTTTCTTGTTAACCAATTAAGACCGTAAAGACCCTAAAGATGTACCCAGTCTATAGCGTTTCATTCCTCTGACCCCGAGGAAGGTCCCTCTCTGAGGAGTCTGATGAGGATATCCCACACTTCCTCTCCTAACCAGGTATTGCTTGGTCTGATTTTAAGAAGTTGCAGATCAAGCAGCGAGTTCCTGGTTACCCATTTCAGCCCCACCTCCTTATTAGGGTCACAGAGGATGTACACAATTCTTTCTGCAATATTTTTTTGTCCGTATGAAGCGATTCTCGTGGCCACTGCTTCCACGTGAAGTTTTTTTTCGCACATAGGTTTGCAGGTCTGATTTGAACACTCCTTCGCCTGCTGGGGACTAGAGGGGGAACACTGAAGACCATCCCTGTAAGGTGATTTCCTCGTGCCTGGCATGAGGGGGCTAATTTAGACCTACCTCCCATTTCTGTTCCTTCTCCCGGACGGGTACGACCAGGATCTTTCCCCGATGGGGGGAGGGTGGGGCAAATCCATTCTCTAACAGGTGGCGCATTTTTTGCCTTTTGCTAACCAGCTCCCCTCCCGGGGGGTCTGGCGCTGCTTCCAAGAGGGGGGGGGAAGATTGTAGAACAGGGTCCCCTTGTTGCTTGTTCGCCTTGGACACAGCTGTCTCTTCAACCTTATTTTCAACACTAGTCACTTCAGACCCCTGGCCCCCCTGGCCCCCCTCTGAACTTACTGTCATGCCCACCGATGGCCGTGTTCCCCTTGACTGTTGTTGGACAATTTCCTGTGTGGATACCAAGTTGCTGACCTCCTCTTGTTTCGTTTTGGGTTCCTCTGATGTCTGGGGGCGAAAGCGGGCCAGTACTATTATCAGCAGACGGTGACAAATGTTGGACCAATTGACACTTTCAAGTAGGCCGTGCTCGAGGGTCATTTTAAGTGTTACACCACTCTCCAATAATGGGACCAGCTCCCTGCATGCACAGTCCCAGAAGTAGTCCCCATGTCCCGGATACCTAGCCTGCAGATTTTGATAGAGCCAGTGGGCCACTTTCGTCAATTTATCCTCCACCGGGATCTGGGTATCTTCCTTTTTTTTCGCCATCCTTGTCTGCTTCCTTCATCTCTATATCCAAGGGGGGGGGACCACCCTCCACCTCCATCGGGGCTAGCCCAAAGGCCTTCTCAAAAATATCTATTTGATCCCTTCCTTCCCCTCCTTCCAGCGGAGGTAGGGGTTTTTGACTACCAGCCTCCTTTCCTTCTTCTCCCCTTCCCCTGTTCTTGAGACCACCTTCCATGCCATCTTTCTTCTTCCCAGGCTGCTCCTCAATCTGCTTTCGGGTGCCCTGAACCCCCGGGCTCTGTCCCCCTGCCCCTGTTAGTGTCTTATTAGCAACTTGTGATTTCTGTTTCGGGGCGGGGACGGGGAGGGGGGCGGGGACGGGGAGGTCCCCTGGCTGCCCTTCCGGAGAGGCGGCCAGGGGAGGAGGTTGGTTTGCCCTTGGTGTTTTTGGCGGGGTCCAACTGTTCGGGGGCGTGGCTCCAAACTTGGTTCTCCCTGCCCCAGATCCATCCCCTCACTCTCCCTTCCCCATCCTTTTCTTCTGAGTAAGCCCACCCCTTGTGGCCTGCGTCGACAGTTTGCCATTTGGACATTGAGAATGGGTCACGTTGGAGTC